TCTAGCCACCTTTGGTCCTAGACTCAGCAGATGAGCTAGGAGATGTGCACACCCATGTACCTACATATGTTCAGGCATGGTGCCTACATATGGACATACTCCCGGGAGCATGCACAGACTCATGTGTTCCCACCCACAGACATCCATGTGCATGCATATGTATGCAATTGTGGGCTCATTCCTGCTTTAGAAGTGTTGACATGTGAGCTGGAGCCATTAGCTCCCATCATTCCATGGTATTTGTACCCAGTTTGTATCTCCTTCTTTGTGTGTCTGTCTCCCCTCCTGCCCTGTGGAATGTGGCTTCAAGAACAAAAGCTTGACTCGTGTGTGCTTGGTGACAGTACAGCAAGCGGCTTCTGAATTCACCCCCACTGATGAGGTGGTTTTATCTGCCTGTCTATCTAGTGTGTACAGTTGTGTACCACTTCAAGTGGAGGTCAGAGGACAGCAGTCAGGAATCAGTTCTCTCCTTCCATCATGTGGGTTCTTTTGACTGCACTCAGGTTTTGGAAGGCAAGTGCCTTTACCTTCTGAACTGTATCGTTGGTTCGAAGTTTTGTTGTTAAAAGAAAAAAAAAACCTTTGTGTTGGCATACACCTTTAATCCCAGCGCTCGGGAGGCAGAGGCAGGTGGATCTCTGTGAGTTTGAGGCCAGCCTGGTCTACGTAGTGGGTTCCAGGACAGCTGGGGCTACAAGGAGGCCATGTCTCAAAAAGAAAAAAAAAAGAAGAAAAAGAAAAAGAAAAAAACCCTTGAATTAAAAATTCCGATCTATGACCCAGTTTGGCGGTGCATGCCTTTAATCCCAGCACTTTGGGGGCAGAGGCATGAAGATCTCTGTGCGTTCAAGACCACCCTGGTCTATGTAGGGAGTTCCAGGCCAGCTGGGGCTACAGGGGGACCCTGTCTCAAAAAGACAAGAAAAAGAAAAAAAAAGTTCTGAACTATGCAGAGAATTCATTTTTCTTTCAGTTAAATTCAGTGCAAAGTATAAAAATGCTACTATTGAAGTTGTCAAGAGAAATCTGCTAAGATCTCTTAGAAAGTTCCTTAAAGGAATAAGAACAAGTCGTTTACCACTGTGAGCTGGTAATAAAGAAACAGGCATTTCAATTGAAATCATCAGGAAATTACTTCAACCATATGCTTATTATAAAATCAAAAATTCAAATATTATGTGTGTTGCTCTGTTACAATTATAACTTGTGATGAAAATACTGAGCCAAATCTTGTGGGGTGTTTGTTTGTTTGTTTGTTTTAAAACATGGTCTCACTATGTAGTCCAGGCAGTCCTCCTGGTAGTAGGCAAGCACTCTACCAGCTGAGCTCTATTGGGCCTAAAAACTATATACTTTTAAGGTTGAATTGTACAAGTAATGTTGTATGGAAGAAAATCCATCTTTGGAAATATTAGATCATTCTTATGGTAAAAGCATTAATGGGGCCAGCAAGGTGGCTCAGCAGGTAAAGGTACTTGCTAGAAAACTTGAGTTTTTACTGGAGCTAGTGGAGCTAGGGAGATGACTCAGTGAGTAAAGTTCTTACTGCACAAGCATGAGGACCCACATCTGGAGCTCAGGCACCCATGTAGACCAGCGAGGCAGTGTGCATTGGTAACCCCAGCCCTTGGTGAATGTGTTTAGAGATGAGCATATACCTAGGGCTTACTGGCCAGCCAGTCCAGCCAAAATAGAGAGCTTGGGTTCAGTGAGAGACCCTGCCTCCAAAAATAAGGTAGAGCGTGAAGCATTAGTGAATTAGAGGCAGGCACTACTGGATTTTACACACAGTCAGGGAGTACTGGATCTTACACACAGGCAGGCTGTATGGATCTTACATACAGGCAGTACTGGATCTTACACACAGGCAGGCTGTACTGGATCTTACACACAGGCAAGCTGTACTGATCTTACACATAGGCAGGCAGTACTTGATCTTACACATAGTCAGGCAGTACTGGATCTTACACACAGGCAGGCTGTACTGGATCTTACACACAGGCAGGTTGTACTGGATCTTACACACAGGCAGGCAGTATGGATCTTACACACAGGCAGGTTGTACTGGATCTTACACACAGGCCGGCAGTACTGGATCTTACACACAGGCCGGCAGTACTGGATCTTACACATAGGCAGGTTGTACTGGATCTTACACACAGGCAGGCAGTATGGATCTTACACACAGGCAGGCTGTACTGGATCTTACACACAGGCAGGCACTACTGGTTTCAGTGCTGTTCATTGAAGAGCGAATGAGAGGCCATCCCCAGCATGCCACCTTCAGGGCCTGGCAGCAGAAAAGCTCCACAGAATCTCTGTGCTGCATCGACCTTTTGGGAAAAACAACCCAAAGTGACATCAAATGTGCTATCAAGCTTGATGACTGTCATTTGTGTTTTTTAAACTCCAGTGTCTACTGGGTGGTGGGGTGGAGGGCTCCTTTCTATCCTGCTGCAGCACCTTACTGTCTTCACCAGGGCCCAGAAGAGAGGGAGAGCTGGGGCATAGTCAGAGCTAATTATTAAGCTCCGGAAAGGTGAATGGATGGTTTTCAGTGCTAAGCAGGTTTTCAGTGGCCATGGTCACTGCTCCAGCTCGTCCTAGGGTTTGAACTGCATTTGTACATGGGAGTGAGCCAGGTTACCAGGAAACAACAGCGCAATTAAAACGCCTTGATTTTATCTTGTAGTGTTCCTGCCAAGAATAATTACGTTAGCCTCAGCTCAGCTCCCAGACACATGCTTGAGGAGGGACCAAGTGAGCTGTGCATAGCCTTTCAGGACCAGCCACCTCTACCCTGCCCCACTCACAGACTTGAGTTCTAGAACCCCAAGATCCTTTGTCTTCTGAGTCAGGTCCTAACCCCCTTAGGTCCAGCCCTCTGCCTTACCTCACCCTTCTAGCCATCGTGTGTGCCCGGGGGCCTGGGGGTGCACATCTGTGGTTCTCCCCATCACTCCCAGAGCAGTTCTGCCCCCAGGTTGGTAGACTTAGACGAGTGTTCTGAGGCATAGTGGCAGGCAGGTGCTTGGGCCTACCTCAGGCTGGCTTGTGGAACACTTGAGGATCCAGAGCCCCAGGAAGGAGCTGGCATTGACTTAAGGGACAGCAGTTCTGCAGGGCCTGAGGGTTGCAAGATTCCCACTGGACTACTTGCTGCTGCTCAGAGGACCGGAGAGGGGTGCAGCTGGCCCAGGGCTAAGTCACCTGAAGGAGTTCCATCCTGAACAATGTTCTGTGGCTTTAGACTGATGCAGTTTTATCCCCGGGGTGCAGAGGGTCACCCTGCTTGAGTTCCAAGTACCCCGGCTGCCTATGATGTCATCGTGTTTTCTTGCATGCTAGACAACAGAACTGCCAAGCTTGGAGCCTGAGGTTCTGTTCCTGGCCCTGTCCTTTATTGTCCAGTTTGGAGTGTTCATGGGCTCTAAGCATCTAGTATCTTCTCTGTATGATGTGGATAGTGGACCTCAGGGGGCTGTTGGGAGCATCAGACTCTGCTCAAGTTGTCTTTTGTCTGACACCTTGACTGCCTCCCACTGTGCCTGAGAATAAAGTCGTGGCATGTTTTGGGTATCTGTGTGTCACTCTGTGTCACACTAGGCTGAGAATGGCCAGCAGATACCACCCATGTAGGTGAATGTGAGATGTTAGGGCCCATCCTTGGACTGGAGGGTCTTTTCCTGTGACCATCACTAAAGTCAAAGGGGCATCCTGGATCAGGTACTCTACTCATCTGACAATGATGTCACCCTGCTGGGGCCTGTAACCACATTCTCAGCTCCAGTGTCATCTCTGTCTTGTGCTTTCTGTAGTAGCACCACCCCGTGGGCTGGTCACATCATGGGGGCTTAAGTATTGTTACCCCTCTTGACTATGCAAAGGCTGCATGCACACTTTGCAGGGATAGCTGGAGCAGAGGGAGGGTCTCTAATCGAGTTATGGTGTTCTGTGGGACAGTACCATGTGTGAGCCTTCCCCCATGGGGGTTTTCCACCTCTTGGCTTGTGAGGATCATCCTGAAGGAGGTCCTGCTCAGGTAGAAAGCCAGCCTTGTGTGGGACTCAGGGTGCTGGATGCCACTGCTCAAGTGACAGCTGGGGACAAATGCTTTCATTCTTGGAGAAGACTTGTACCCTGGATCACTAGGACAGAGAAGGCAGGGCACGCCAGGCTGGCAGCCATGCACCCTGTGCGGCTTGGCTGATGTTTCAGCTCTGCCGAGTCTACTGGTCACCCATCCTTAAGTTCACTCAGCTTTTTCCTTAAGTGTATTTATAAATAAAACTTATTATCAGAAATAAAAAGCAGGATCCTAGCTCTGAATGGAAAATGGCACATTCTATAGAGACAGGCCTGTCATTTCTCTTACTTATGTGTAACCATATGTATTCCCTTCCAGTCCTACCCCTGTCCTCCAGGGGCCCAGAGCCCCCAGGCTCCTTGGCCAGAGCAGTGGGCCTCTTAATGTGAGCAACCACCTGGGTATGTGGGCAGGGAGTAGAAGCAGAGCATGAAGCAGCCTGGTCTCACGATACAGGACCAGGGCCCCTTCCTGCTGGCCCTACTCTTACCCTGAGACTCCCAGCCCACTGCATAGCTCCCAACTCAGAGTCTCAGAGTCCACTGGGAACACAGAGCTGTGCCAGGCAGACCCCTGGATGAGACTAAGCGTAGCCTTCTACATTGGTAACAACACGTTTGGTGTCCAGACACTACAGCTTGTGTTAGCCCATGCTGTTCTAGACACCCCAGAAGTGCCAGACTTGTGAAACTGTAGGCATAGTTTCTTTGGCAAGGAAGGGGCCATGCTGATGTAGTGGCTCTTTCTCATCACCCCCTCCCTCATTCCATGTCTAACTCCTACTTAGGAACACTGAGGAATCAGCCTGTGGCTACATTTTATTGACAGAATGATGCTGCAATCCTTAGTTCTTTTTACATTATTAGTGTGAACGAACCATTTGCATCTCATTGTTTATCTTTGTAGAGGCAAGTCCTTCAACCATGTTATAACATCTTTTGGCGGCTCCCATTGCCCTGCACAGCAGCACCTGTAGCTTCCTTAATGTAATGGCGAAGACCCTCTTAAATAAACCCAGTGTCAAGATGGGCATCCCAGAGCAGGTAGGCACCCAGACCAAGTGGGCATCCCAGAACAGGTGGGCTCCTAGCCTGGTGGGCACCCAGACCTGGTGGGGTCTGAGAGCAAGTAGAAACTTAGTCCAGGTGTGCATTCCAGAGCAGTCAAGCACCCTGGAACAGGGGCACCCACAGCAGGTGAGCTCCCAGAACAGAAGGGTATCCTAGAGCAGGTGGGCACCCAATGCAGGTAGCTGTTTGTTAAAAAGCTGTTTGGGCTTTCCCAACTCAGACACCACTGCTTACTCAAGTGTTATAAGTGACAGCTGGGGTGGCCCCACTTGCCTTCTGGGAAACAGGAAGAAGACTCAGGGATTTGGGGGCACTGGGTAGTATGTACATGTCAATTATACATTCATTGCAGGCAAGGGAAATGTAGCCAGTTTCAGTTGGGTCCATGTGTTCTGTCTCTGGACTCCATCCCCCCAGGTCACAGGCATATAGCAGACATGTAACTAAGATGCTCCCCTGGAGTGCCCCCATCCTTCTGACTGTCACTGGTCAACAGCAGGGTTGTCTTCTGGGGACACAGGACATAGAGAAGCAAGCCTGCATGGTACCCTCTGAGGTCAGAGGTTAAAGTCACTTGACCAGCTGCCCTGAGCTTCTGAATCTGGATGGCAGCATCTGCAAGTTGTGCAGTAAGCAAGGGTCTGGAGCGAGGCCTCCTGGCAGCCCCAAAGATGATTGGCAGCGGGACCCTCTCCGAGGCACTGGGGTTTAAGAGCCGGGCACCTGTGTCAGTGTGTGCAGCTCCAATGAGCAGCACCAGCTCGTCCCCATCCTCCTCCTAGCAGGAAATCCCTCACACAGCACTGCTGAATCTGACATCTGACTGCTCGGTGGGTGCTTTCAGGGAAGACTGCCTTGACATCCTGTGACAGCACCAGCCTGTCCCCCATCCTTCCCAGCACTGCTAAACCTGACATCTGACTGCTCAACACTGTCAGGAATGACAGCCTTGAGCGTGGCGTGGCAGAGGCGGTTCAGAGCTGGCAGGCTGGTCTTCTGCTCTACATACAGCCTCAGCTTGTCCCTGAAGGTCTCCCCGAGGAAGCTGTAGATGAGGGGATTCAGGCAGCTGTTGGAGAAGGCTGCCAGGTTGACGATGTGGCCGGTCAAGGGGTAGGCGTGGCGGAAGGACTGCTTGCAGGGCATGTCCCCCGGCTGCTTCCACTGCAGGAGGTGCACACTGATGAAGACATTCTCTGGCAGCCAGCAGATAAAGAAGACCAGGACAACAGCAAAGATCATGCGCAAGGCCTTCTGCCTGCGTGGGCGCAGGCCACGGTGCCTATGGGCACGGATGAGGGCCCGCACGATGAGGGAGTAGCAGAGGCCAATGATGGCAAAGGGCACGATGAAGCCCAGCGTGACTTCCAGCCACTGAACCTCCCTGACATCAGCGAAACAGAAACAGGCCTCCTCGGTGTGCCGCAGGTGCACGGCTGTGAAGGGCACCAGTGTGGCGGACACGGAGGCCATCCAGATGAGGCCACAGCTGAGCCTGGCATGGTGCTTGGTACGGAAGAGGCCACAGCGCATGGCCTTGGCCAGTGCCAGGTACCTGTCAAAGCTCATCCAGGTGAGGAAGAAGACACTGCTGTACATGTTGATTTGTAGGAACAGGGACATGAAGGTACATAGCACTGCAATGTCATAGTACTGCTCGTGCAGGTTGAACACCTCAATCAGCGAGTCAGCCACTAGGATGAGGTCAGCAGCTGCCAGGTTGATGAAGTACAGGTCGGGGATTGTCATCTTCTCCCGGAAACTGATGTTCACCACCAGGATGAGGATGTTGCCCACAAAGCCGATGGGGAAGAGGAAGATGGTGTAGAGGCATGAGAGGAAGAGTGCGATCACATACTGCTGGTGCTCCGAGAGGTCTCCCGTGAGGTTCCCTAGGGCAGTGCCCTGCTTCAGGAGGGACCAGTTGAGGGCCCCATCGGGGAGGGACAGGTTGAGGGCCCTGGGGGTGCAGTTGGGAGCGGCCAGCCACACAGGACCTGAGTAGACATCCATGCCAGAGGCATGGGCTGGAACAGTTTCATCCATGGCTTCCCCCCACCTTCAGGACTTGCCAAAGGTGGGACAGAAGTCTGTTTTAAGCAAGGACTCCATCTTTACAAAGCAAGGTGATTCTCTTGGCCTCGAGCCAGGCATTAGTAAAGCAGGGAAAACCATGTGTGTGTTTGGGCGCAGGAGAGATGGAGTCTTGTCAGCCTTGGGAAACCAAAAGTTTGGCAGGCATAGTGTCCAGTGTCTGGGCTGGAGCTGGCTTGGGGCTGCTGGTGGGCAACTGCACTTGCTGCCTGCTTACTCTCTGGGTACCTATGGAGGCAGATAGGACAAAGTTAAGCATCTTGAGGAAGCCATATGATTGGCCTGGATGCTGACTGTCATCCTAGAGAGACAGTAACCCTAGTGACCCCAGGCTGAAGCCAAAGAGAAGAATGTGGAAGTATCTGCTCTTGACCCCTAAGGGCGTCTTGAGTTGGGGATGGACTGTGTGTGAGTCATGGCAGATGCAGTGGGACCATCAGATAGCTGGCTCATGAAGTAACATGCATGTGTGGTGTGGGAATCCAAGGAAAACTACTGTTTGTTGGGACAGGAAGTCTCATTAATTTCAGCAGCTGTTAAAAAGCAATAGAACATGGGAAGGGAAAAACCCAGCCCTTCTCAAAGGTAGTTTGAGCAGCCTGGCGGTAGCCTCCTTTTCTCTTGAGGAAAGTAGGTAAAAGAAGTTTTGCTTTTTTGCTAGTAGAAGTACTGAGTTTGGATAGCAAACTGCCAAAAATAGAAGTCAAAAGAATAAGAAATAAAAATTGTCATTTGTGAGCTGGGGTTTACCTTGCACACACGAGGGCTATGGGTTCCATCCCTAGCATCACAGCACACACACATACGCAGTTGGGTTTCGTTTTGTGAAACAGTGTTTCATGTAGTCTAGGCTGGCCTCAAACTCACTGTGTAGTTACATTGACCTTGGATTCCTGATCCCCCTGCCTCCACCTCCTGAGTGCTGCGGTTACAGGTGTGGCCACTAACACCCAGTTTATGTGATCCTAGGGGCGAAACCCAGGACCTTGTGCATACAAAGCAAGCAGTCTACCAACTGAGCTAACAGCCCCAGCCCCACAGAGTTTAAGAAACAGTGTTACCCAGGCGTGGTGGAACACTCCTGAGGTCCTAACTACTAGGGAGGTTGAGGTAGGAGGATCACTTGAGCCTAGGGACTTGAGACCAGCCTGGGCAACAGTGTGAAACCCCATCTCAAGAAAATGAGAGAGAGGGAAAGTGAGAGGGAGGGTGGAAGAAATGAAGACATTTTAGCCTTTTAACAGATTGCTGTGAAATGTGTTTTATGTTGCTGCAATCTGGAAGCTAAGTTTCCTTTGTGGCTGGGAGGACACAGATGGGGGCTTTCCTAGCTTGTTTGACCCTGTGCCCCAGGTGCTCTGTGGCATGACCAGGGTTCTCAGTAACCTGGCAGTATCTGGAGACTCTGGGAAGTCACAGCGAGGGAGGTGCTGACATCTGGGTGGAGACCAGAAGGGATGCTGTTTGGTGCTCCATATTGCCCTGAGCAACTCCTGTCTCAGCAAAGCACTTCAGCCCACAGTCAGCGCCGGGCCAGGGTAAGGAGCAGTGAACTGGCCTGCCTCCCTGTTGCTTTTCTTGTGGGAGTTGCATTTTATTTTGAAGTGAAGCAAAACCAAACCAGAGGTTTGTTGGCTTCTCTTTCCCCAAATACTACTATAATAAAATAAGGAGAGGAGGAGAGGGGCAGTTGCCCTGGCCACGACCCATCCTGAAGGTACGGGTGGGTAATGTGCACTGAGCTGTGGCGGGTGACCTGACCGACCCATCTTGCCCAAGTAGTCCCCATCTGAGCTGCAGAAGCCCCACTGTTCTAAGAGTCCACCCACAGTGTTAGGGCTTCCATTTAGTTTCTTTTAAGATCTACCCAGAGTACGATGTATGAGTTGGAAACTCGGAGGCTTGAGCTCAACTCTAACTTAACAGCAAGCAGAGCTCTAAAGTCTTGCTCTGTCCCAAGCCTGTTGACTCCTCTGTGGGGAGCAGTACGGAAGCTACATCCTGGAGTGTGCCCTTGACCCAAACTGCTGCTGCTCTGGTCTGACATCATTTCGTTTTCTCCCGTTTGTCCAGGTCCAAGAAAGCGAGGCCAGGTTTCTGGCACGCTTGCTGGCAGATGTTCCGTCTGTGGAGAGGGCTAAGCCACTGGGACATTCCTGGTGCAGGAGTGACTGCAGTGGTATTATTAGGCGTAGCCAGGAGCCAAATCAGGGCACACTCTTGGCTGCACCTGGGCAGAGCCCCCCAACTCTGTCACCTGTAGTGTGCTATCCCTGGAGACTGGGGGTGCATGCCTGTCACTCCATTCCCATCCCAAGACTACAGGAAGTCCTTAGCAGCAGGGGCAGGAGCACAGTTCTTACCTGTGTCACAGTCTCCCCGGGCTACCTATGTTCTGAGCAGAGCCGTCTCTTATCCCACCTTGGGAGACTGATGGAGGTTCACCATGAGCTTGCCTCAGGGGAGTGACCCTGGACTTTGCAGCACTTTGGGCATGACGCCTAGCAGGGAAGCAGCAGGAAAAAAGGAGAAAGACCTGCCAGGGAAGGAGCAGACTCTGCCTGTGGCTGTCTGCAGTGTCTGGCCCCCTTGGCACAGCGCCGCCTTTATAGGCTTCCCAAGCCTGCTCACTGGGCTCTGGCCAGCCTCCTTTTAAGGCTAGTGTTAACCATTTTTTTGCTGGCCCTTTTCCTTCCACATGTTAGCGTGAACACAGCCTGGCTGGGACATGTTGTTATGGAAGTTTCCAGTATAACTCCTTTTTTTCACCTACTGCACATTTTTAAAATGTGAAGAGTTCATAATATTGTTTACCTTCTGGTAATAAGCCTTCCTCATCTGCTGAAACAAACAATAGTATTCTTGTTTGTTTCAGTAGCATGCTGGCTTTAAAACTAAACACGTAAGTTTCCTAAGTTAGCATAGTAGGGTGCCGGTAAACACAATGTAAACTATGACGTTCACAGAGATAGAAATTTAAGCCCACAAGTAGTGGTATGTGGGTCAGAAATTAGGAATCCTGGTGGGTTTTCTGCACTAAGCTTTAGCTGGGTCTCCTGTCCCCTTCCCTCTTCTTTGGGCCATCTGAGTGTCCCCGACTTCCAAGTGTCTAAAGAGGCTCGTCCCTACCTTGGCCCCTTCTCTTTATTTCCAACTCTAGGCCTTGTGCAGCCCAGGGAGTTGGGGGATGAGGGAGTGGAAGGGGGGCCTAGGTCAGGGGTGGGGGCTTGTGTCTGTTTGTCATCCCCAAGCATCCCACCTTCTGGTTGTTGGGGTTTCAACTGCAGCTTGGGGCGATCTTGATATTGCAGCCCCTGGGCAGAAACAAGCACCAGGGGACCCTTACAAGCACCTGGGCACCCGGGCCTGAGCTGCCCCATCCAATTATGTGGTCTTCAAAAAAATTAGAATTAATTGGTTTCATTTCCTCCTTCCCTCCTCCTTTCCCTCTCCTCTCCCTCACCTTGTCTGTGTGTGCACATTCATGTATATGTGTGTATGTTTATGTGTGCATGTGGAGGGTGGAGGACAATCTCCACTGTCATTTCTCAGGTACTGACCCCCTTGTTCTTTGAGATGGGGTCTCTCATTGGCCTGGGACTCCCCAGTTGAGCTAGACTGGCTGGTCAGCAAGCCCCAAAGATCTGCCTGTCTCTGCCTCCCCAGTGCTGGGATTGCGCACCATCACACTCGGCTGTTTTTATGAATACTAGGGGGTCGGACTCACGTCTTCAAGCTTGGAAGGCAAGGACTTTACCAACTGAATTGTTGACTCCGCCCCTGTGTTTTCTCCTTGGTGTCTGTTGATTGTCGGGAAGCTGTGAAGTTGAACATAGACTAGGCCTTGTGTTCTGAGCATGAGTACCACATGTGGTATTGCCCGAGGTGGCAGAAGCTGTCACATGTTACTCCCAAGAGCCACTGTGGGCAGCTGGAAGAAGCAGGTAACTGCACTCAGACAGCACCAGGCATCTCTGGGGAATGTGGGCCAGGAGGTCCCACCGCCCGGAGTCTTAGGTGCACACCTGCTGTTTCAAGTACACTAGCGACTTTCTGTATGATGCTGCTTTAGAATCTTCGAGAAATGTACAGACCCTTAACAGAGTTCTGTGTTGCTATTTTTAGTGGAAGAATACTAAGTCAGAGCCCCTTCCAGCTGTAGAAGTTGACTTCTATGGTAGCTTTTTCTCGCTTGAGTGGGCCTTCAGTGTCTTGACTGGCTTACCAGGTTGAGATGACTTCAGCATTAAAGATGCCTGCAACACCATCTTGGAAGAAAAATCATGAGAAAACACAGCTTCCTCTCAAATTAAATAAATAAAACAAAAACCCAAGCCTTGAAATAGCCAAGGCATACCACTTAAAAATAGCCACTCCCTGCTCTCACAAAGCTACGCTCAGGGTTCCATGTCACTGGAGCAGTGTGAGGGTCTTCATGCCCTCTGGGTTCCTGGGGAGTTTCCCTGGATGCCCTGACCTTGCACTCCAGGTGCATGCTTGACTACTTAAGTGATGGGGTGGGGTTGGTCTTGCTCAGAGCCCAGGCTTCCTTTTTAAAGCACCAGGTCACATCCTGTGGCCATCATCCCAGTAACTAACAGGGGTAGGACCCAGATAGAAGGGATTTCAAGATTTTAATGTGGGTAAGGGATGAGAGGGACCTCATGGAAGATTCTAGAATACCAGAACTGTCAACACAGTGGTAAGTTTGACATTTGATGAGGGCATCCTCCATGCTCCCTGCACAGTGCTCCATGTAGTATCAAGGGCCCTTCCTTCAGGGCTGTACTGCCTCTGGCCTTGGACTCCTGATAGGATGGAGCTGAGGGCTATAGTGTGAGCATCTGCAGAATGCAGGGCTGGTGCCGTCTGGGCTGGGGGTCTTGCCCTCACTTCAGCCGTGTCCTTCCTCATCTGATTGTTCCCCATGGGTTGGATGTCCACCTAGGTTTGGTAATAGCTTTGTGCCTGAGTCTACAGTTAGTTATAATGGCTTCATGTCTGTGGGAAAGCAACACTGACTGGTGTACCATGCGTGGCAAGGAGGGACCCACTCTGCAGGCTTCACAGTCCATCTGTGGCTCCAATCTAAGTGCAAGGACTTGGAAGAGAACCAGTCTGATCGGCCTGTTAAATTTACGAGCAGACAATATTGGATGATTCATGGAGAAGAGAGGCCAGTAAAGTTAGGACGTTTGTTGTTGCCCTCAGGAGCTCCTCAGAACAGTCCCCGTCACTCAAGCACACAACCCAGCCACCTTGCGAAGTCCCAGGTCAGGACCTGGGGTACTCCCAGGGACCCCTGGTTCCACCAGTGCTGTCCAAGACTTTCCCAGAATCCTGTTGGTCTTTCTTTCCTCTTCTGTGGTACCCAACAGCCCCAATACGCCTGATGGTAACCAGGGTACCCTCTTGCTTGACAGCACCCTCCAGAGAGACAGGTCCCAGAGTCTGAGCATGTTCAGTCTGCAGCATCACCCATCAACCTTACTCTCCACTTTTGGCCATATGGGACCCTGGCCCATTTGCTCAACCTGCCCGAGCCTCCATGTTCACCTGGAGCATATGTTATGATGCTGAACAACTTTGTAAAAGCCCTTTCACAGTGGAGTCTGACCTATTGACACTGCAATGGTCTGCAAATGTGGCGGGCCACATTGATAGCTATCCTGGGACACATGTGGCCCACACCTGCAGGTTGGACACCCAGATGACCTCAGCCTCTTTGCTTTCTTGGGACTAGGGGAGGGCATCCTTTAATCACTGGGGCTATGCTGTCTCTTAGAGACCTGTTGAGGGCCCAGAGTGGCAGCCATTTACCTTTAATGAGCCACAGTGGTCTTGGCTTTTCTGGTCTTACCCAGTCCAGAGTAAGGAGGTGATTTGTTGGTCAAAAGGGATTTTAGGGGCTGGAGCGATGGCTCAGTAGTTAAGAGCACTGTCTGCTCTTGCAGAGGACCCAGGTTCGATTCCCAGCACCCACATGGTAGCTATGAACCGTCCTTAACTCCAGTTCCAGGGGAATCCGAAGCCCTCTTCTGACCTCCGCGGCATTGCACAACATGGGTGTACTCACATACATGCAGGCAATACACTCATACACATAAAAAAATAAAAATAATAAATAAAATATATTTTTTAAAAGATTGTAGGATTGCTCATGTGACTTGGTGTGACTCCTGAGGTATCAAGCCAGGTATGTGGGGTAACAGTGTAAGCTTGAAGAAATTTGCCAGTGTGTTTCCACTCCTGTCTGTAAAGGCAGACACCACAAACCCAGTATTTATGCATTTTGTGTGCATGTGTTTGTGTGTACATGTGTGTGGGTGCATGTGTGCATACATGTATAGAGGCCAGAGGTTGATGTCGAGTGCCTTTCTTAGTTACTCTCCATCATTTTGTTTTTTCTTTTTGAAACAGACTCTCACTGTGTAGCCCTGACTAGCCTGGATCTCATTACGTAGACCAGGCTGGCCTCGAACTCTTAGAGATCTGCCTGCCTCTGCTTCTCAAGTGATGGAATTAACAGTGTGTGCCGCCACACCCAGCCCTTTTCACCTTGTATTTTGAACCAAGGTCTGTCACTGAACCTGGAGCTCACTGATTGGCTAGGCTGGCTAGCCAGAGAGCCCTAGGGATCTTCTGTCTCTGCCTCCCTAGTACTGGGGTTACAGGTATATGATGCTGCACCCGGCTTTTTATGTGGGTGCTAGGGATCTAAACTCAGGCCCTTGCAAGCTTGCCTTGGACAGAGGCCTCTCTCCCTGACTCCTGTTTGTGCCTTGTCTCTAGCCAAGCTTAGGGGAAGCAGGGAACTCCTGCGCTGTCTGCAACTCTGTACAACACAAAGAGCTTTGGGATGGCTGCACTCAGGACAGTCTGAACACTCAGCAGGGCAACAATCACCCCTTTATAATGGAAGAATCAGAGCCAGAGATGCTGAGGACTTGCCTGGGTTTCATGGCAGCTACAAGGGACAGGTCCTGCAGGGTCCCAGCTGTCCTGGGCCAGGTGGCCAGCTGCACTCTGCCATGGAGTGACCATAGGGAGTCTGACTGCCCAGGTGGGCCTGCTGCATCCTACCTGTTCACTCTGGCTAAGAAAGACTGTTTTGTCTGGGTTAATGCTGAACTGTGACTCAACTTCCCCTGACTTCTTTGGAGCCTTCACTCTGGTCATGGGATGATGAGTTAGAGGCCCACGCCTTGAGGGAGGCACCCATACTCAGCTTCCAGACAGGCTGACCTGATCCTGTGGCGGCAGGAGTATAGGTGCCAGGGTCCCCACCCTGCGAGGTCAAGAGGCTTCCTACAGACATCCTGGATTCACACCACAGTGGCCCCAGCACACGTGCCATTGCTGAACTGTTTCCTAGAAAAAGTCAATTCAGCAGCCATATCTTCCAGTGTGGGAAGGAATTTACAGCACCAGGAGAGTGTTGTAGCCCTGGCCCTGCAGCTGCCACCTGCCCCCCAGCACTTAGAACACACAGCCGCATGCCCGTAGGGCCACTGTCCAGGGGCTTTGTGGCATTGACAGCTGGACCCCTTCCACGGTTCCTGGGAGCTTTCTGCGTGCTTCCTCTGATTCCTAGAGAGGGTTGGCAACCAGAGCTCAATGTGTGGAGCTCGCAGACTGCAGGTGGGAGTGAACAGGGGCTCTGAGTTCCACTTGATGTGGCTGCTGACCCCAGGGAGTTTTTGCAGGGTGAGGCTCTGGAAGGAGTGACTGGGGATAGGTCCTTGTCCTCAAGTCATAAGCCCTTTCTGAGGAAGCAAAGGGTGGCTTGGGCATAATGGGAGGCCTCTCCCCACCCCAACAATCAATTCCAAGTTTCCTTCCTGACATTTCAGTTCTCTCCCCGCTGCCCTGAGCACAACTGTGTTCTGAGGCATCTTCTTTGCTCTCTGTCAGCTCTAGATCTTTCTCTTGACTCCATCCATAGAAAGCCTCTTTTTCTTAGGAATTGTCAGGCTTTGGAGTAAGGCATATGTGACCCAGTCAAGAGACAGAGTTCCCATGGCCTAAGACAGGGTTAGGGGACTTTGGGTAGAGGGTCCCTCCCTTAGGGCCTGGGGCCTCTTGCTGCTCCAGCACTGAGCCCCTCCCCAGTTGGACCAGAATGGTTTTAAATGTTTTAGCCCCTTGCCTTGTTTTTTGGTTTTGGTTTTTAAAGATACAATCTTTATGTGTAGCCCAGGCTGCCTTTGAATTCATGATCCTCCTGACTCAGCTTCCCAAGTCTGGTATCTTACACCCAGCTTATAGCTTTTTTTTTAAAAAAAGCATGTGATCCTGGTCTGAAGATATAACTCAGTAAGCCGCTTGCAAGGAGAACCTAAGTTCAATCCCCAGAACCCATGTGAAAAAGTCAGGCATGCACTGGTGAGCTAGTTCATCAGGTAAAAGCATTTTCTGCCAAGCTGACAACCTCATTTGGATCCCTGGAACCCATGTGGTTGGAGAGAGAATTGAGTGCCCCAAATTGTCCCCTGACCCCCACATGTGCACTATAGTGTGCACATAGTAAGTAACTAAATGCCCCCTGCCAAAAAAAAAAAAAAAGTAAGATCAGG